CACTTTTCCGCTTGATTTTCTCTTGATATTGCAAGGAGAAATTCTGTTTTGGTCACTCCGGCATAGGAGTTAAAGGGTTAGCTAACAACAAATGATTCATGACATCGTTTTTAGTTTGTAGATGTTAGCATCTAACAGTTTCTTTCGAAACTATCAGCCTTTATTCAGATGTTAGCATTGACGAGTTGTCTAAAAAATGTTTTTGTTCATTGCATACCTGAACAATCAGGTATTCCCCGAGTTGCTGTCCCTAAACGTTCATTTCCATTTATGTCCACACACCAGCACTGGCCTGCGCCCACGTGACATTGGACCTCGTGAAAACCTCCATCTTGTCTGCATCTCGGCACGAAGTTCCAAGCGTTAGGTCCATTTGAGGATCGTTCGATGGCTTCCTTTTGACGCTTTTGGCAAGATGTGAGATTTTCTAAGAAAAGCAGTGTGTAAATTATAATCCTCATTATGTTTAAAAGATACCACCTTCACACTAAAGGTAAGTAGATTGAAAATTTGGTTTCCTGGATTATTGATGTAAAGAATTGGCCGCTAGTCTAAAGTAGCTTAAAAGAGATCAAATTAAACAGCTAAAGTCACTGACAGACAAAAATATTGAATAAACTTTATAGTTGCGAAAGCCTCTCACCAGAATATAGTGACATGATGTTATGGTTCTAAAACGGCGAGATAATCTGCTAAATTATATACTCATTACTTATCTTAGGAAAAACGTACTTGTGGGCTTGCCAGTAGAAGGAAACAAAGCCATATTTGAGTCAATTCAAAAGAACTTTGTTAACTAAATATCAAACTAAAGAGTATATTTCTTTTAAAGCTAAAAATATGAATTTGTTCAGGAAAAATGAAACATGTTTGAGGAAGCCCACAATTATGTGAACCTGATAGCGCCATTTGGTACAAAAATTTATCTATTAATTTACTTTTTGTAATTGAAGAAGTACCTTGTGAACTGTATATGTAATTTAAGTAATTTTTTTAATTTCAACTTGATTATATATATAGTTATTGTAAACACGTGAATGTAAACATTTTTTTCTTTACTTCTTGTCACTGAACAACAGCTTCTTGAACTAACCATTATCTAGTAAGAATTTAATCAATAGCTGTTATATAATTGATTAAATATCCTGATTGTAAACATACATGATGGAGGAAGATAGTAATGAAAAAGATTTAGAAAAAAGTCAGTGACAAACCGTCGACTAACTGATCGTACAACTACCCGCCTAACGGACTGATTTAACGATAGACCGACCGACTGACTGGCTGACTGACTATGACTAGGAAAAGAACTCTGTGTGAACTGAAGATTAATTGTCTCACCGACATTTGGTAAAAACGAGACATAAGTTGCGCAGTCGTCCCGTGGAACGAGTCATATACCCCATTCACACCAGAAAACTTGTTTAGTTAAACCAGGTTTAACTAAATAAAAATCAGAAGCAGAGAACTGAAAAACTAAATTTTCCACAAGATTCAAGCAATTGCTAAATTGTATTTTCAATGTGCCACATTTGAAGTCAACCAAATATTGATTTGAGCAGCTTCTATGGAGCTGTTGTGTTAAACCATGTTTAACAAAACAGCTTTAAAGCATGTTTAGGCTTTGGTGTGAATGGGGTAATAGGTATTGCCTAGACATCTTACAACATTCTCACCTTTACTTGGACATCGAATGACGCCTTCACCTCTGGTACCGTTTATCTCCCTACCATCTCGATCCACGCACCAACATTGATTATCAGTTACATCACACTGTACTTCATCATAAGTACCATCAACCTGGCAACGGGGAACATATGAAGACAGATGCATACGACGACCGCGTTCACGTTGGCAGGGTGTTGCTATAAATCCGTAGGTTTCTACACACAAACCAATGAATCAAGTCATCAAATTGCACAGAGCACGACTGATAGTACAAAGTCAGTTTTAGATGAAACTCTTGCCACCTCGATGGTGGCTCGCCTTCTGATCTTATATCGCACAACTTGTACATAATAGAATGCTTTACTTATTTAACGAGAGAGTTAGCAATCATTTCGTACCACGGTGTAAATATCAAAAAACTCGTTACGTCCTATCAAAACGTATCCCTAAAAATTGATTTCTGCTTCCGTTCCGAACCTGAGACAAGGAATAAATCTAATCCCAAATGCTGAATACAACCCCGAACCTCTGCCCTCCATACTCCGATGCTATGCCCCTGGGCCAAAGAGAACTCGAACCAAATGGAGGTTTCAACGCTGTCTGTCTTACCAGTCGCAGGATGCTTTTAAAATGTGAACCTGGTAATGGCTAAGTTGATCATAGATTTCACTTTAGCTCAATTTTTCTTATGTATCCATATTTTTAAAAGAGAAGTCGATTTTCATGATTCGTTCATTTTCTTCTTTAACTGACCTCATGAGTAATTGTCTAAAAACACTCACTTGCAGCACGGCAGTCTGGCTTTCCAAAGCTAATGTCAACACTCATGCCGGGAAGTTCTTCTCCTCTTCTGTTTACACAAAAAAATTGAGACGCCTGGACTTGGAAAGGGATGAAACTTCCATCAGCTCTACACCAAGGAATATGAGACCCAACCGGACTGTTTCTGATATTTTGTTGATAGCGACTCCAGCAGAATGATTTGGTGTCTTCAGAAAATAAAGCACAGAAACAAAAACAAAAAAAGCGAAAAAAGAGGTATTCTATGGATCAATGAAATTGGGACATCAACCACTGTTGCATTACTAAAGAATAATTTTGTGGCTTTGGAAATATATCAGTTTTCTTACCAGCTGTATAGGGGCACGTGACGTTTTCACCTGTAGCTGTGGAGGGAAGTATGTTTCCGTCTCGGTCCGCACACCAACATTTCCCAGTTGGCTTGTGGCATTGTATATCCTCGTAACTACCGTCATATTTACATCGAGGCACAAATTTGTCAGGATCTGGCGAAAGGTTTATTGCTTCCTGTAACTGCTTTTGGCAACTTGTCAATGAGGAGCCTGATTTGAAACAAAAAAATCATATATAGCTATGATATAACTGTCAAATAGTCAATCTAAATAAAATCATGAGGTCAAAACTTGGAGTACTTTTTTTTCGGAAATTACCTGGCCTTGAGCAGACTGGCTTACCCATAACCAGAGTTTGCCTCGTCCCTGGTACCTCAATCCCCTCTCGATTGACGCAAAAACAAAACGAACCATGGCACTGAATTTCTTGGAAGGCGCCAGTCTTACTACAGTGCGGTTCGAAACCATTAGGCATAGGATTCCGAAGATAGCCTTGCAACTGTTTCTGACACACCGTCAACGTAGAAACTGAAATTCGAATGACATAATAACTATGTAACCAAACATAGCCATAAAGCATCACCTTAGTTGGTCATTATTGATTTAGTAGCAAGATTTATTTCTCGGTTGGAATTTAAAATAAAGACTATATCATTGAGGGGAATCCCACTTCGTGTCTTTCCAAGGTCCTCATTTTCATTTCCTTTTTTCAGATTCTCTCGCTTTTTGGATATTTTGGTAAATTTTTCAATACGTATGGCAAAACACCGTCAAGTATTTACCTCCATTACTGCATTTCGGTTTTCCTTCTGTTATATCTATTCGGCTTCCTACCAATTCGACTCCATGTTCATTGACACAGAAACAATACGATTGATAACACTGCATGGGTTCATATAGTCCTTGGTGGGAACACTGAGGAATATGAGGGCCTGGTAATAGCCAGCTCCTAAGTCTCTCTTGATATTCCTCTTGGCATGGTGTGGGAGAAGCAGCTGAAAAAAGCAATAGAGATACTGTGAGATTCACTTCTCCAAAAATTGTAAATTTCTCAATGCACTCTGGCCGTAGTCCCCCACAAAATGTTACAAATTGATTCAGAATATCGTCCTAGGTTGAGGTTATCAAAATTAATCTCACAATGTAATGTTTAGTGGTTAAACATTGGGGTAATGATCAGTCGCATGGCGTGATTGTCTAAGGTGGATACTGGGCTCTTTAAAGCTGGTTAATCTTAGCTTTATGTCAATAACTTAGAGAATACAAACTACTCTACTTTACTCTACCTGTCACCTATCTTTTCAAGTACTTGTCACAAGGTCTGTAAGACGCTCAAGCAAGACACTCATTACTTATTTAAAAGACAATCCAAACCTGACGACGGACACATCAGGTAGCCAGTCGTCCTTGTTCCTTTCATTTCCTCTCCAGAATTGTTCACACACCAACATTCACCTGTGGCTCGAAGACACTGAATCTCTTCAAACCTGCCATCGCGTTTGCAAGAAGGGATGAAGCGGGAAGGTGTTGCTGGGAATTTAAGAGCCGCCATATGCTGTTTCTGACAGGACGAAAGAGGATCTTCACCTTCCCAAAAGATATGAAGTTACAAAGTCACTTCTCAATCACTTTTATCGTTATTTTTATAATTATCATTATTATTATTATTAAAATATATATTGCATAGGGCAAACTTTACATGAATGACAACTTAACTGAGCATGAAACTGAAAGAACAGAGGCAGCTTAAGACAAACCTGGAAAGCCACATTTCGGCTTTCCAAGCCTAGCAGGTAAAGATGTTCCCGCAATCGGATCTCCATTTTCATCGACACAATAACAGTCAAGATTTCGGCACTGTAGGGATTCGAAAGACCCATTGTCTTTACATCTAGGAATAATTTGACCAGGGATTGGATTCTTAGCATGCTGTCTGTATCGCTGTTGGCACTTGGATAATTGAGCTCCTGTCGGTAAAAGTAACTACAATGATCAAAATGTAAGGTTTAGTGTTTAAACATTGAGGTAATAGTCAATTTTATAGTTTGATTGTCCGAGATGGGTACAGGGCTCTTAAAAGCTGACTAATCATAGCCTATTCACAATAACTTAGCCTTACAACAAACACGCAAAAGATGGTTGCCCTTGGAGGGTTTTACATTAGATATTTGAAATCGAGCCTGGCTAGTGTCGCTTTCAGGAGGCAGTTTTTCCTTGAAAAATATTTTGCGTGGAGTTAGGTTTCCTTCGGCATTACCGCAAGCTAAGAGATTGAAGACGATAAACCAAGTCGAGTGGAGAGTAGAAGGAAATTAACAATTGATTAAATACAGAGTTCAAGCTGCAGTTCAGCTATCCCAGACCCATTCTTTTCGTTTGCAGCTTAGGGTTAGAATATTTGAGTGAAAATAAAGTGAAAAACAGCTGTCTCAGCACTCGATACCGCTTTCGGACACAAAAAGGCAACCAAATCGACATTTCCACCTTCTACACTTACAACAATTTTTAATTTTTTTTTAAACTCAGTTCCAAAATGTAAATTTTAGTAATTTTCCCAATATGCGGAAACTATTATATCACTACGAAGAAAGTACAACAATAGCTACCTATTACGGGGCATTTCACAGGCTCAGTTTTCCTAGTCCCACGCAGTTCCTTTACATCGTGGTCAACACACCAGCATTCTCTGGTAGAACCCTGACACTGTACTTCTTCATAATGTCCATCAAGTTTGCATCGTGGGACCAAGACACGTCGGAAGGACTGCAAAAAAGCCTGGTGATACTTACGTTGACAAGACGTCACGCGGCCACCTCGAAGAACAAAAAGTGTATTTTTTAGATGCGTTCTGAGATATCTATTAGAGGTGCCAAACTACCCATAGCTATTTCTGCCACTTACCAGAAAAGGTGCATACAGGTCTTCCCGCTGACACACTGATCTTGGTTCCAGGAATTTCATTTCCTTTCTCGTTAACACAATAGCAATACGAGCCATAGCACTGCTTAGGATTAAATGAACCGTCTGCTCGGCACCAGGGGAGATGTTTATCTTGCCGCGGATTCTTTAACCAGTACACTAATCTCTTTCTACAAGGGCTTAGTTTATCTAGGAGGTATGAATGCGCAGATAAAACTCAGAAAACAAATAAAAGAACCAAACGAGAGGAACGGGCAATCAAACCTACGGAGATGTTTGAAAAGCTTTTGACGAAGCCTTCCCATGCATACGGCGGGTGATAGTAACTATACAGTTCTAAAATCCTAATGGGGCCGTTCATAACACCTATACACACTCAAGCATGTGTTTAGACTAAAAGAACAATATGTGATTAGAATGAAGTCGATGGACTGTATAAAAAAAAACTCTCACAAATAATTTAAACTGATTTTTAAGAAAAAGTTTAAGGGGGGGAAAGAATAAAAGGAATAAGGGAGTGGAGGATAGCAGTGATATTTTCAATACTAACCAAAAGTGGGACAACTTTTCAGACTGGTGCTTCTTGAACCAATAACCTCATACCCCTCACTGTTCACGCACCAACAGCTCCCTGAAGATCGTTCGCACTGAATCTCAGACCAACTCCCGTCGGGTTTACAGAAAGGAACGAACTTTTGGGAATGATGAATAGAATTTCGACGTTTCTTCTCGCATGGTGTTATATTCGCATCTGGGCGCCACCATATAAAAGGAAAAAAAGATATCAATTCAGAAGCTAAAGAGACTTTGAAAATAAAATTGCAGATCTACGCTGTTTGAAGCGTTTGAGGGCCTCATGTTAGATAACTCCTTGGGTTAATGAGCGTCCCTCCTTAAATAAAGTTTATTGATTGATTGAGTGATTGAAGCAGATACAAGCTATGTGCTTACCACATCTATATCACTGAGAAAGATGTGAGGACTGAAATATTAAGCTTCATCCCGTGCCAAAACCTTCATTCCCGTTGATCCTGGGGATCGGGTCAAATTGAGCTTAATTTTCTCCTCATTTTCGCCCTTTACTTGTGTAAGATAACAGTAATGTGCTGACAACATCTGTATCACTGAGAAAGATGTGAGGACAAATAGGCTTAATTCCGTCGAAAACCTTGATTTCCATTGATCCTGGGAATCGGGTCAAATTGAAACCAATTTTCTCCTCATTTTCGTACATTACCTGTGTAAGTGCAGTTTGGTCGTCTGGCTAAATTGATAGTTTTTGTTCCTGGAATCTCTTTCCCTTGTGGAGTGACACAGTAACATACTCCTCCTGAGCACTGAACTTTTTCATAAGCACCGTCTGGTCTACACCGCGGGACATATCGATTAAAGGACTGCCACCATGGACGCCGCAAGTACTTCTGGTATTCCTTTTGACAAGCTGTTAAGGGCTTCCCTATGGAACGATTCAGAGAAATTAATTTAATATTCCACATAAATGTCAATGCTAACTGTCCGAGACAGCGGTATCGCTCGTTTCATTTGGTAAAGTGCACTCAGTTCCTGTATATTAGAAAGAAGGTAGGGCTACGTCTCATAGCAACTATCAACTAAAATAGAAGATTTAAGAACCCATGCTAATTGTACAAGGAAAATATCCCCTCCTCTAAAATATATCTCATGTACCTCAGAATGTAGATCAGTGAAACACTTCGGAATTTGGTCAATCACAAAGAATTCTAATTTAGGAAGTATTGCTTCGATTTCAAATCTCAAACTTGACCAAAGTATCAGGGTAACTGCTTCAGCACAGATAAGTTTACCAGCCAATCAGCAACCCCAAATATTGATGATCGTGATATTCTTCTTTAAATCGAAGAAGAGATTTAGTTTATGGTCAGTATGGAATCATACAAGGTCCTAGTAATTAAAAACCAAGATTGATACAAACCCAAGCCTGCGCATTGCAAAGGCCCTTTTCGTCTTGTTCCTGCGATCTCGATGCCTTGCTGATCCACACACCAGCACTCATCGCTGATCCCATGACATTGAACCTCTTCAAAGCTCCCGTCCAACTTGCACTGTGGAACACGAGTGTTCTTGTTACGAGAGCGAAGAGCCTCTTGGTGCATTCTTTGACAATGGGTTAGACCTCGACCTATGGGAGGAAACAGATGCTTAATAAATGCGTATTATCATTTACTTCAATCACTTTAAAAAGAGCTATCGAAAAAGGTAGTCTAGCCGACAGTAAGAAATTACGTGGTTAGAGCGCCGTGTAATGACACTCATGCCCGTGCATTCACCTAAGTACATGTTTTCCCGGTGAAGGGACACACTTACCTGATCCAGACACACTTTTATGTGCTGTAGATAATTGTCCCTCCATTATCAGTACTAAGAGTACATTTCAATGCATGATGCAAATTTGAAAATTGATAAAGTGAATTGAGGGGAAAAACACCTCTTCATGCTTTTGTCATTGTCAAAAATGATTTGCCTATCTTTTCACCTAACATGCTATGTATAACATTTATTGTTTTACCAGCATCGCCACATCTTGGTTCCCCAACTAACGTATTTATTTCTGTATCCCTGACTACTCTCCCACTATCTGCGTCTACGCAATAGCAAATCTCTCCTCGGCATTGGACTTCCTGGAATTTTCCGTCAGGCCGACACCTTGGTATTGCCAAATTTGGTTGCAGGCTTCTGGAATTGTCGAGGAACGTTTTTTGACAGTGTGTTACACGGATATCTATCAACATGAACATGAAAATAGGAACATTAAAGGCGCAAACTCGAAAAATTCCAAATGATTTGAAAGATTCCGAGTTAGAGCCTGTTAAGTCGCCCAAGTTGTAAGATGAAAACTTACGGTTGTGGTCTTATTTTCGACCGCATCGTAGAATATCAAATTCCTCTCTATCTCCGTCAAAAACAGATACGTTCATACACTGACCTAAAGTAGGACAGAGGAGAGGTCCTCTAGTTTTAGTCCCAGAAAGCTCGGTACCATTTTTCTGCACACACCAGCAGAAACCAGAAGATCCATTACACTGCACCTCTTCATAACTACCGTCCTGCTTACAGCGAACCAGATAGGATCCAAACGGTACATCGCTGTTCTCTCGCTGGGCTTTCTGACATGGAGTCAAATCACCGGCTGTGAATGAAATGAAAGCATCAGGAAATTTAAAAAAAATGCACATCCAGGGCTCGACTCGCATGATTTCACCCTACTCATGAGAATCTGTGCACCGTACAGTATCAGTTAATTCGATTGTTCTTTAAGGTATTGAAGGGAAAATAAACCTAAAATTACCGGGTGGAAGTTGTTTTGTTCCTGTGCAGTTGAGCGGAAGATGCCGACCCCCTCTAGTATCAGGAACTTCCTCTCCTTCTTCATCCATACAAAAGCAAATCGGTCCGTGACACTGCACCTTAGCATAACTTCCGTCAGACAGACATCTCGGTACAAACACTCCGAGACGTTTATTTCGTCTGGCTTCAAAATGACGTCGCAAGCATGGGCTGTTTGCCGAGGGATCCGCTAAAGTAAACAATTTTAATAATAATTATGTTTTCACAGTAAATCTGGTTATAATGATCTTGATGTTATTATGATTAGCTTTCACATTCTCTTGCTCCTTTTTCCTTGCTTCCAAAGGGTCATTGGGTATTAAGGGGAAGCCAGATGTAATTTCACTGAGTAGTATAGAGACTTTTTTGTTCCTTAGCCTGTTTGTTTGTCTGTTTGTATCACTTACCTGTACAACGTGTTAGACATGCCGTTTTGGTGTTAAACGAATTTGCGTTTCCACCACATCCTCCATACACAAACTGCTCACAACGCCCTCTATCCGAATTGTAAAACCATTTTGGCATAAAACCTTTACAAAGGCCCTCAACCTTTGGTAAACTGCAGATGTCACCAGCTAAAACGATGTAGGGATAGTATACATAAGAGAGGATGCTTTTATATTGGTAGCTCAACTTTCAAATCTATTTTAAAAACAAGATACATTTTCGTTAAAGTTAAGGTTCTGTGTCCCCAAATCAGCATGGGATTTTCTCAGGCTACAAGGTGTGGCACCTCAATAAAGTTCATCTATCTACCTATCGAGTTAACGGGAACCGACAATGGAGTTGTTTTAACATTGTATTCTGATTTGCTCAGGCTCTAAGCTCTTGCGTTATAGATATCGAGTGCCAGAAAAAACTTCCTCCTGGAGACTCATATTTGGCCCATCATGGATAGCATTGTTGGAGGTATCAAATGTGCATGGTATCCAGGATGTCTAATGACCGACAGTATCTACTCACATGGTGTTACTCCACAATGACCTACAATCATAACAATTCCTGGCTCAAACTATTTCTTTTTCTAGAACTTACCCGCATGACTGCACGCTGAATTACAAGCCTCTTGGGTCTCGAAATTATTCGTGTTCCCACCACATCCACCGTAAGCAAATGACCTGCAGACACCATCTCTACCATCAAAGTACCACCGAACAGCGTGCCGCTTACAGTATCCTGTGTTCCGGGGTTGTAAACAATCAGCGCGAGACATCCTGCTTTTGTTGTTGGTAGGAGTTTGCCCTGATAAGATAAGATAAGATAAGATAAGATAAGATAAGATAAGACAATCACCTTGAACCAGGTCGGCAATTTGCACTTTGCAGTTGCAAGTGGTCGTGACGCAGACTTGGGACAGATCTTACCTATGTATCAAAACTAACATTGACTGAGCTGCTAACTTCACATTCTTCGATAAAGATAACAAGATATTACAGTGTGCACTGCTCATTTTCAAGACAGCTTATTTTTTATTGCAGGTCAACATGCGATAGTTACCGTTGGGGTAGATGACACATTAAAACGTATGGGCTTATCACGAAAAAGATCACCTGCATAAATATGTAATAAACGAAATAATTATCTTGTAAGTCCAGTCCAAGAGTTACGCTACCATATGATAATGATTATCGATAAAAAGCTCGAAGGAAACAATAATCTGAAAACAGCAGGCGTGTTGTTTGTTTTGCTGTGTCATTTCTACGCCTCGAAGAAAGCCAAAACAGAGCACTACGAAGGTTTTAATTGAGCCTTATACTTTTTTTGAAGCACTGTTAGCAGTGCATTGAGCGATTGCACTTTTTCGATCAAAACAAATAACGTGGGAAAAATGATAAACCCGCCGTTTGTAAACGTTGTGGGTTTGCATCAAAGTGAGATTTTCATTGAGTTTAAACAGATCAAATAATCAAATGTAATGGCCTCGGATGCATATGACAATTGTTAGCTCCAACGTTTCAATTAATTGGATTTAGAGAGTGGTAAAAAGAAAAAATCACAAACAATAACTTTGGAGGTTTTTGTTAGATAACTCCGCCCTAAAAAGTCAAGGACCTAAGACAACACTCCTTGCGGAGGAGAGTGCGAGTTCTCGTTAAATGACAACGAAATAGTTTACGCTTCGACACTGATATTACAGGTGTTTGCTAATTCTTTGAGAGAGCATCGCGAGAAAACATTCATTTTGCACTCTTACCGTTGATGATGACGGATATTTCGGCCTCCGCTGTCAAAAATCCGTCATATGCCTGGCATTTATACATCCCACCATCGCGCATGTCTACATCCTGGATATTCAACTTGTCCATGCGTGGTATCATTCGGTTTGGCAGTCCTCGGAGCCCAACCTTTTTCCACGTGATGCTTACTGGTTCTCCTTCGAAGCGACATCTCAGCTCACCTTTTTTATAAGCGGGAAGTACTTGCCTGCTTTTATGCGCTGCGCTGACTTTCAGCCTCACACCATCTAATTACGCAAAATATTTCAAACAACTGTAGACATAATATGGTTCAGGATTTTGAAGCTTATACTTACACAGCTTAGGCTAATTCCCTTTTTTTTATTTTCTGCTTGTTTACATTTTGTTTGCTTTATTTCCTTGTATGCCTCTTAAATTGTATCGCTTACAAGTACTTAAGAATGATCACTTGTCTTCAACTATTGCTCTGTCTAATGATTTGATGAGATACCCACTTGGCTTGCAGCTTCCATAGTGGTAGATGGTGATATCCTTTGCCCCCAGAATACAAGCTGTTCTATTTAGTTCACAATAACTCTTGTAAGGTATGCCATCTGTTCCGCACACGGACTCCTCCGGGCGAGGTGTTCGACACTTAGACTGACAGGAACACCTGGGGGAGTTGTATTTATCCAACCTGCAAACTTCCCCAGGGTATTCACATTTCCTCCGAGCGCAAAGAACTATGAAATAAAACGAAGTATTATTCTCTGGAAGCAAGAGAATATGAACAGTTTATAGTCTCTTGCTAGGTGACAAAAGGTTATAAAACGGGCAAGTTGAGTAAGAAAAGACTTGCGAAATTATCATTGAAATATTCCAAGATGAAAATTTTTTATCTCTGATCAAAACTAAGATTTGATTTGATTTGAAAATTAAAATTTCACTCGCTCGAGCGAGTTTCACAAGGCAAACTTATCAGCTTTTTGTTTTCCTGAAAAAACCTTGTCGACGACACTAACTGAGGAACCTCGCTTTTTAACTTTATCGTCATATTTTGCACTCGAAGTTAATTACTTTAAGTGGTCTCTTAAACTGGCTTATCTCTTTTGCAAAAAAGTAGACTTTGTCCGGAAAAAAACTTGCTCCTTTACTGCATGTGAAACTTGTCGTGGGTTCAAGGGACAATTTCTGCTGTAATATCAGCTTAGAAGCCTTTTAGAGAAAAATTCATTCAATAAAAAGCATTTGCTCTGCTTCATATAACCGAATAATAGAATTTACCTCGTTGGCACACTTCCCTTGAGGTTAGAATCTCGCGGTGAGGGTTGCACGTGCTATAGTGAAAACAGCATCTACAAAAAAAAAAAAAGAATAATTGCGATACTTAGATTGTTTCATTGACACGACTTTTTTGACGATTAATACTACTCCTTCATTTTAGAGGCATGGCGAGTCGCGAAGTAAGGCAGGGTCAAATTGGCTCTTAACGCACTGTAGCTCCCGCTTACTTTCGACTTGCCTTCACGTACGACATACCGAGAGAAGAGGGTCATTCGACGATGCGCGTGGCTTAGTCTTCGCATGTTCACATTCCTGAATTTTTTTTCCAGCTGAAGAGAGAGGGTATAACCGACCCCCGGTTAGCCCAATTGGTTAGAACGCCGGATTATGTTGTGCGGGAGGTCGAGGGTTCGAGCCCCGGCCGGACCAGTAATTATGGTCTTAAAATAACTGAGGAGAATTTGCTACCTTTCTATAATATCAAGAAATGGGTAGATATTCTAATCTTCTCGGATAAGGACGAATAAACCATAGGCCCCGTCTCCTGCAGGGTTAGGGGTAGGAGACGTTAATTTCCCAAACACGAGATTACTGTGTGATGGATGTCCTCCCCTGGGGTGGGGTGTCATTGTTTCACAGGGCCCCATTAAAACTAGCAATTTGCTAAACTGGGCTACCCAGTATAAATATTCGTAAATACATACCTACATAGAATCAAGGAGAAGTATGAGTTGAACGGATATAACACTTGAGATAAACACGATTCGAAGGCTAGGTTTACTTTGAGTGAAAGTACAGGAACCACACTAAGCAAATTTCCGGAATCTGTCCAAATCAGATTGACATTGGAGCAACTAAGGATGCGATGTAGCAGATCACATGCTAACCATTCAGTCAAATGTTTAGTTTATGGTGCACCCCTTAAAGTTAATTTTGAAAGAGAGCTAGGTCACGTTTTAGTAATGGCCATCTTTCATTAAAATTTTAGGGACGTGAGCGAAGACGGTTTTGAGAAAGGTGAAGGTGACTGGAAGTGGTCTGCAACTAATGCTCTTTGCCATTAATCAATTTCAAGCGATTTAGCATTTCAGTCTGAAGGGTGCGAACGAAAGAACTGTGGAAAGCGTATGTGAAAAGAGTTCTTAACTTCTGGTTGCTATCCGCCTCTTAAAACGACTGTGCTAAAGTGATGTAAAGTATTAAAGGCGTAGCAGTTTTAAAATTACCTTTGTCAACTATTACCTTTTGCAATTGCTTTTAAAACAGAATCTTGTTCTTGTCAGTCTACAGTCAGAATTTTCTTTATTTGATGCGATAGTTGATTCGTCTTTTGGACAGGCATCTACAACAGACAAAAAAATATTCACATTAATAAAAAATTACACCATTTTAGAACTGAAAAGATTGTGACAAATTCAGCTAATTAAACACTGTATAAGGCTGTCCTCCGCCAGCTCTCTTTAACTCTTCAAGCCAAGTTTCCTATGGACAAGTTACCGCAAGATAATGAAATAGATGCATGGCTGAGAAGGGGTACAGCCTTATCACAACGTAGCTCTGAGGCGGAACATATTTAGACAATGAGGGGAGGAGGAATGGTAGGAATGGCAAGAATGGAAAACATTTCTAACCATTTGAAAGTGAATACTCAGTTACCTTCACCAGGTCCAATAGGCAGTATAGGCTGACGACAGGAGCGTGTTTCACAGGTGCTCTTACAGCACTTCTGACTACCAGAACAGTCCTCATCCCAATTGCATTGCTCAAGAGACGAACAGTTCCTGATGGTGCTCCATAATGGACATCGGCCTTCCTTTATGATCTGCCTCCTGAGCCGGTGAGCGGTCTTCTCTCTTTTACCTAAAGTGAAGTAAAAAACCGATTAAAGAAACCTCGTCAGTCTTTATTTCGTTGGTCACAGTAGCACAAACTGCAATGTCTTTACTCTAAGAATGACTCAGGAAATTCCCTTCATCTATTACACCAAACTAAGCATAATTTTTTTTTTAATTCAGTCCTTCATTTTGAGTCTTTCACTTTACTGTAACTCTTGAACGAGCAATTGGGAATCTTTATGTGATAGAAGGCCAGACTGCTAACATCTTGACATCATGGACGGGGCTTTGAGCGTGATGGTCGACGAGTGCGCTTGAATTTTACGAAATGTATCTGACGAGACGAAACGCTGCGTCATACTAGCCACACATTTTTTCATCGACATATTTCACAATTTTTCATTTGATATTTCATTTTTAGTCGTTTCAAAAATGGAAATTTTGAACTTCTAACGGTATGGGAAGGAATAGAATGACAAAGTACCATCTAAACTCTGTCTATTCCCCAGCTCTTCCTAACCTCACGTGACACCAGTGTTGAACTGTCATGAAACGGTATTGGTAAAAGGGGTTAGTTTGAATTTAAAGGAATCAGACACAGTTGAAAATTAAACACTGGCCATTCACAACATTGTCAGTTCTAAGCTAAAACTGTGAAATGTTCAGCAGGCAACCGTGGACGATACTCCTACTCTTGTACGTTGGATCAGCGATGATCTGATCGGCCCAAAATAACGAATATGAAATATAAATATAGAGGCAAGACCGATACAACGTAGATAAGTAAATTTTAAGACGGAGCACTATATTTCGGCTGGCCAAACCAGCCTTCTTCAGGTGCAGTGGGAATTAACAGAGAATTGGGGTGATGCTTCATAGCGGAAATATGTAAAACTAATTTGATTGACAATGAGATAACAATAAAAATAGAAATAGTGAGCAAAAATAGAAATGAAGTAAGGTAAATTGGATAAATAACTAGAAACTAATACATTTCTTCGCGAGCGTTAAGGCCATCTGGATAAATAGTGTTTCCTCTTGAAATTAAAAAAGCTTCCCTGGCCTTGCGTGTCGAGTCTCTCTTGGAAAACACTTTTTCGATGGCGATTAGCTCCATATCGCAAGTAGAGTGGTTAGGAGAGGAAATGAAGTGTTCTGCCGCTGTAGTAGGTATAGATTTAGAGTTAGGTTTATCAATGGTACGGCGGTGTTTATTAAAACGGTCTTTTAACGTCGTTTAGTGGATTAAACCATGATCCTATGGAGCGGATTCGGGATTGGGTCTTTGGTGCTACTATGGCAACCAAACACTTGCTAATAAGGACGTTTATCTAATACCTCCTCAATTATTTAACTAAATCAAATTTTTTGCTTCATAGGATCACACCTCACATCAAAAGGATAACCTATGCCAATTTTCACAACAATTGGTCTTAAACTGAAGTGAAAAAAGGTGGGGGCAGATAGAAACTACCACGAAAAGGCAGTTTTGTACTGCTGTTAAAGTTGACACAAAGAAAAACTCCTCCTTTAACCAATGTCATATCACTTGGAGGTGATTATAGCATCATTCAGCACCAAAATATCACTCTTTAACAATTTTAAAATTAAAGGAAAAGAAGGTGAACTATTTTGAGTTATTTTTTCACTCCTGGAAGCTAAACATTAACGGCTCCAGTCTCATATGTTGTGCCCTCTAAGCTGATTCCAAGATTAGCCTAGACCAAGTTCCATCAAAACTAACTGGTATTTCTCCACCCAAAGCAGTGTCAGAATTTTCCACTCCACCTTCCTCAAGAGTAATCCCTCTTGCTTCTTTTCTGTTACTCTCGAACATTTTGCGCATAACACCCTCGTGTGCTTGAAATAACACATCCTCTTAACTGCACCCAGTCAATTTAGACATTGTGAAGGGCATCTTGAAAACAGAGTTTTGCAATATTAATGCCTTCCTTTCCCACTCCCACTTCATAGGAAGCATACACTATCTGCCTCAGTGTAAATATCCTTCTCCTGACTTAACCTCGCAACTCTATCGGCAACATTGTGAAATCCAGTGGTAAGAAATTCTTTCATAGCACAGCTACAGCAAGCTTTACCGAAGCTGCTACTCAGACCGAATCTGCCACTTTCATTCTCCACTAACCTAATAAAGGCTAAACGAAATGAAAAAATGATAAGATTTTTTTTCAAGTTTCACATATCCCGAACAAAAGAGTCGCAGCTTAGAAAACTGGTTCAAGAAGGTATGGATAGAGGTTTATATATCTTTACGGTGGCCAATTTACAATTTCAACTTAGTTGATAATACCAAATTACCTTGTTACCCCCACCAACGCAGCACCACAGTTTCTTTAGAAACTACCCCCTTCATTCATTTGAAGCTGTTTCTTAATTTGTTTGGCGTCCCATGATGTGTTCGCTGGGATATGAAAACCCACGCATCAACCTAATTGTACCTTCGTGCTGTTTCAGGAAAAAAAAAATTGAGTTTCTTCCTGTATGGATATGAATGGAATTACAGCAGAAGTGTCCTCTGAACCTCTTCTATTCTCCAGGTCCTCCTTTCCTGCGCATGGCTCCCTTTCCCCTTTTGCTACAAATTTTTGGGCGGAACTAGCGTTCAACTGTCATGGGGCGGGATTGGTGATAGGGGCAAAATTTAATTTCAAGAATAAAACACTGAACATTATCAGTTCTAACCCAAGTGAATATGTTTCTTTGTATCAAACAGGAACAATGTCGTGATGTTTTCGCTTGATTACGAAAACCCACTCGTCAACCTAATTGTATCTACGTGTTTAAAATTTAAGGCAAAAATTATCTTACCTTTGTTTACTTTGTTTAAATACCCATGTAAAAACATTTATATCAAGGATTATCGATTTTCTAGACAAAAGCCTATTTTTGAGAATTCTTATGATTTTAGGTTATGTTCTCTTATCTTTCTGTGACACAGAAAAGCTTGGAACCATTGGAAAACCATCACGATCTAAATAATCGAGCTGCGATAACATTAACGAAGAAACGTCATTTTGTAACAAGTGCTAGATGTGTTGTTGTATGATAAGAATTTATGAAACGTATCTCTCAAAAGTCTTACGATTTTTTTCGACTGATAAAAACAACAGAACTGTCACTGCTTTGACCTTTTCGACAGAATGAAGCCGAAGGGTTCGATGAAAAATGCGAAATCATCAAATTTCGCGACTCAAGATTTCAACACCCATCATTTTCACATTCCAAAATCCACACACAGCGGTCTTCGGAACCCATAGAATAAGCACGGAAAAAATCCACAGGCGCCAAGAAAACCAAAAAAAATTAAAAAGGAAATATACTCTTCGTTAACGCTGATGTCTTGACAAATGAAATTTTCAGTTTTATCACGAAAGATCCGTAACCAAAATGGAATTATCCTGGTTTTACATAAAACAGCAGCGAGTAGGAAATGAGAAACGTTCAAACAGATGGTCGTATGGTAGAACCATGCTAAAGTAAAGTTCACTTAGGTGAGACTACCTCACTAGACAGAACTCATCAGCTGTCGTCGGAGAAATTTAATATGAAAAGGATTGACATTCCACAAAATGTTATCGATATCGACGAATGAAAATGCTAATAAAACATCCTACATGGATTCCAAATTAGAGCGACATAAACATAGCTACGTTTGGCAGATTTACAAAAACAAGAGACAAATCATGGCCCGAATCTACGCCAAGGTCACGTTTATATAACTCTTAGCGTAAACAATACTCTGCCAGCTCAAGTAATTAGGGTTAAGAGATAACTCTTTAGATTTCATCATGAAAATCACTACATCCCCTCCGCTACCCCTCCTATTCTCAAAGAGTAACAAAAAGAGATCATGTCCTTCTTCTCGTGGAGCAATATTTTGCAAATCAAACGCATAATTCAGTATGATTAATAAATATAGTGATAGAGATCCATACCGACGGAAGAGCATTTGCAATTCCCTATCTATGTGATAGAGTTAAAACTCAGAATTAATTTACAAGGTCATCATCAAATGGAAGTTACCACAGGTAGAAGAGCACATGGAAACTGAGTTCCCTGACTTAGCTTGATGGTGCATTTGTTTTGCACATTAGTTTGTGGTTTGATGCATACATTATCAAGGTCCGGTTGGCTGAAAACATTAAGATCATTCAAAACAATTTTAAACCAAATATATATAAACAATGGTTCTCTGTGAGTTTGACCATAACTCTAACACAGAAATGCAACCTCGAAGATACTGAACAGTGATGAATAGAAATTGTAAATTGGCCACCGTAAAGAGTTAAAAAGCTGACGTTTCGAGCGTTAGCCTTTCGTCAGAGCAAATGGAGAGTCTCTATACGCTCTGACTAAGGGCTAACGCTCTAAACGTCAGCTTTTTAACTCTTTACGGTGGCCAATTTACAATTTCAGCTTAGTTGATATTACCAAATTACCTTGTTACCCCACCGACGCAGCACCATAGCTTCTTTAGAAACTTACCCACTTTAGTGATGGGGACTTTACCAAACATCGTAAGCACAAACAAAAAGCACTTTGTTTGAATATATGAACTTCATATATTCATCGTAACCAAAAAGCACTTTACTTGTGACTGTAAAACTGACGCACCGTAAAGAAACATTTATATGTAAGGTTTCTTCAGACTTGTGGAAGGATTACTCCCTTTCCTTGGTAAGCGTTGGTGGTCAATTAAAGATCGAATTCTTGATCTTGTAATTTTTCCCGTTAATTTAATGAAGGGACAGGACCTTTTATCACCAAGAACGATTGAGGAAAGCTTACAGGATCCTGTGAAAAATAGTTCCGTTCTTGTCGAGGGTTCACTACACAATCGATCCATTGCTACAAGTCTTTTTTCATAGTTCCCATTGAAGAAAAGGCTGGTTTTGAACTTAAATTCAAGGACCAAATAACAGAAGCTACATCAACATATGTATCTGTCAGAAATAAATTTGCAAATGTACAACTGAGTTTTAAGTATGAAAGTATAGTAATTGCATAAGAGATATTATTGATAGGAAACCAGTATCTGGGCGAGTAAATATCGATTTGCGAATGAATTTTATAACGCGGCATGGGACCAGCATGCAATGTAAACATTCTCTTAGGTTGACTGTGAGCAACTTAAGGTAGGATTAATGTTTCATCTTTCACAAGAGTCGAAGTATTTATCTCAATTGGTGAAACAGCAGTAAGCCAAAGACGATTAGATTTCGAGTCTAGGCCACAATCTGCCGAACAGCCAATATAAACAAAGTAATAGGTGCCTCATTCTCCTAACTGATTGCGGTCTTTTTCATCGTCTCTGGGCATATTTTCATTTCTCGTTTATCTGGGCCTTTCCAGAATTTTACGCTTGTCATTACCTTTCAAATCATAAATATGACCATCATTGTTTCTGGCTAAATTCGCGCACAACAAACTGTTTCTCGCCTATCCATGTGAAAAGCCCCTGAACCTTCGCTTATCCTCTTAAAGCACATTTATTTTACTTACCAGCCGATTGATCATGAATGCTCGCCAGTAAAAAGAAGAGAAGGATACTTTTAACAACAAAGATTTCGCACACCATAATTGTTCACTTGAATGCCATTAAGAGTGTGTGAATACTCTGTAGAATGTCGACCACAAGATATTAAGTTTCGTTTTCGTATCCGGCCGTACTAGCGTTACTCAAACCTGTCACGGCAATCACTCTATAGGGGAAATCCACTAAGATCGAGCCGAGTGAAGGTGTAGATTTTCGATCAGTGCCTCTCGCTGAATGTGTAAAAGGAGATTCCTCAGGCAATTGAAATCATAAACAGGTCTTATTATTGACTGATAAGACCATAATATGCTAAACTGTGGAGGAACACAGCACCCATCCAAGGATGGCCAGGGTGGGGCAGGGAGGAGCAATTAGAGAAGATTATCTCGAATTGCATTATTTTATTAAAACCCGATAAGCAGCCGCCAACATTTTTTCAGGTTTATAACTATAATTCGTTTGAAAGTGTCATTATCCAGGGTCGAAAATCACTATTTTTCTTAACAGAGCTTTGATTTTTCTCTTCAAAATACTTCTTCCCCGGCCAAGCCCTCCCTTTTTTAAATATGTGGTAAGTCAGGGGGTGGGGAGGGGAGGACATCTACAGGATCGCCTAAACTCCATTCTTAAACAAAAATCGCTTGCACTCACTCTCATTTAGCCCGGCAACGTACACCATGTTCATTCCGTGAAAGTATTCTGGACACCGATGTGATGAGTGATAAGATCAGTGATAAGATCTTGCAAATGAGTGAAAGGATCCGCTTACACTTTTGGAAGGTATGGATATGGATGGAGCGGGAGGGAGAGGTTGTTGCGGTTGAAGGAGTGGCCCAGTTAAGTGGGGTTAAAGCATATCCATTCTTTTGTAAAAGCAACTCGCCCTTGACGCGGTTTTGTGATCGCCATAAATCACCGTAATTCAGTGGATATGTCTGTAATGATGTAATACGGAAAAATTCCACACCATTGGCTATAAGACTGTTATTAAATTTTTTTTTTGTGTTATGCTTTATCGTTGTATTTTTGCAGCCCTTCGCGCTAACCTTTTTACACAGAAGAATACTTCGTTGTTGTCACAACAAAAATATTTTAAATGTGTCTTCAATCGCCTCAGGGCTTGTCTTCCTTTTGCGATCCGCCTTTATTCAGAGTTTGTATTTCTCGTAACATGTCACCTTTGACTAATTTGAGAATAATTATCTACTTATTCGCATTCTCCGATTCTGACATTTGGCGTGATCATGTAAAAAATGCGTCAGCTCGTCACTTAAACAGTCGTAGTAGTCGGTCGTAGCTCGCTTAGTGAGGTGGTCAACTCGCTTGATGGGAGCAAACAAACCCATGAACTAATTAATAAATTAATACATCTAAACATCAGAACGCAAATTTTCCATATATCTTCCTATACATTTTGCAAGGTGCATTAAAGGAGAATTTGTTTAACAGTCAGGAGCGTCTTCAGTCGGTGATCATTTCTCTAATTCTCCTGACCTTAATGTGTGATTCAGGGGTGATTTTTAGAGGAGAAATTAGACATTTGTCACTCTTAGGGGTAATAAGGTTAACCAAGCTAATATTCATAACCGCTTACGATTCAAATAGCAGACATTATGGGTAAGAGTTAGGGAAAGGCCTCAAATAAGATACGACCAGCTCAGGAAAGCCTTTGAGGATTAAGGCAAATCCTATAAATTTTCTGTTTTCTGAGAAACTCTTACTCACAATTTTTCTTTTCGAACCTTACTCAAGTTCGAATTACCATTTATGAAGGCATATAAATTCTCTCACTTGTATACACACGAGCAAACACGAAAGAAGAACATATACTACGGGGACAGAGAAGGTTTCTCGTCACCTTCGTTGCTGATATATAAATTTCGAGGTTGCTGGTGAAGGTGACTGGTAGGGAGTGCAACGTTATGTACGCCTTTTCGTGTCTTTTGTAGAGTGCGTGGCTATTTAAAGAAGCAAACTGACAGAATATTTAAAAAATATTTAGTAAAAGCCCATTCTCTAATTTGAAGTCAATTCGGTATTAGCACGACTGTTCTATGCATGCGGCAATTTTTTGCATATGGTGTCTATACAATCCGTGTATCGCAGCTTTTCGGCTGCCACGAGGCCCTAACAATAGCAGTTTCCCTGGTTTTTTTTTTTCTCTCAAATAATTTTTCCTTCTAGCTAAAAGTCGCCTTTTAACTGCACTGTTCTTTAGTTCTACCCTCAATATCATTATAGTTTTTTATGGACGAGTTTATGTCAACATTGCTGACGCCTGAGAGAGGATTTCGTCTGCCGGAATAAGTTTTCCGTCAAGTCATCTTAACCTGATCAGAATGCACATTCAAACACAACTCGTGTTTCTCTTTTTTGAACGTATGTTTATATGTTAGTAATTCGTATCATGCAATCTCTAAAGATAAACATACAGTTTTGGCAGAACGTGATGTATTGATATGTATGGGAAAGACTTCTTAAGATGTTCCTGCATAGAAACTGCTATTTCTCGCTTTGAATTTGCAGTCGTATTTCATGTGTTGGGGAGGGAATATGTACTCTTTCCTTCTCCCCTTAGCTAATTTTAAATCGCTGTGTTGCTCCAATGAAAAGAGACTTAAGAATTTGCTATTATCGTGCCGTAAGAAAACTAGAAACCAGACGTAATGGTGTACCTTTCTAATCATTCTTTAGTTGAGTGTCGTTTTACTTAGCTTTGCTTTGTGGTTGATCCGGAAAACTCGCGCGATCCTCTCAACAATTCAGATGCAATGATTTCAGAAGCAATGATTTCACTTTTCATTGGCTATAAATAATGTAAGCTGCTTTACTAACACGGCCACTAGAAGGACCATTGACTTCAACATCTAAAAACACTAGGTACAAACGAAGCGTTGGCTGGTGTTTGCAAGTCTCCACTAGAATAGATACACGTGCGCATGAGGGATGCAAGTAATCAATCCATCCTCCTCGAGATCAAGCACCACTTACTTATCACACCAGCAGTTTCCTCGTTAATTACTATCTCGTTGAGAAGACAGTAAATAATCATCACATTACATAACAATATTTTCTTTCAAACATGTCTGCACCCTCCTTCGGTGCACTTCCATCTAACTTTGATCATTACAATTGTTCTTCATTGACAAACTAATCTTCAACAAATGTCCTTTGTTACTCCTTGTAGCAGGGATGACAGGGGGCCGTTTAGTCAAATTTCAGACAAATTTACCAACATCTTTAAAGAAACATAACTCTTTAACAATCTTGAAGAAACGATGAAATTTTGATCAGGGCATCCCTCTGGTAAGACCTCTTCAGAAAATTGAAACGGAGATGAAATGGTTAAACCATAGTTAATCACTAACTTCTGAATTTCACATCATAAAATGGGGGTTGCTGTCTGCCCCCATACTTTTTTTTCTACAGAATTCATGGAAAATAGTAATAAATTCTCAGGCATAACAACCATGGATTAAACCATGATCCTATGGAGCGGATTCGGGTTAGGATCTTTGGTGTTATCATGGCAACCAAACACTTCCTTATAAGGATGTTGAGCTAATATCTCCTCAATTATTAAACTAAATCCAATTTTGCTTCATAGGATCACAGCTTACACCAAAAGGATACACTGGGCAAATTTCAACAAAAATGGGTCATAAATTAGAGTAAAAAAAGGTGGGGGCAGATGGCAACTACCACTAAAGGGCAGTTTTGAGAAAACTGCTGTTAAAGTTGACACAAAGGAAAACTCCTCCTTAACAAATGCCATATCACTTGGAGGTGCTTATAGATACATAAGCTCCAAAATATCACTCTTCAACAATTTTGTAATTAAAAGAAAAGAAAATTAACTATTCTGAGTCATTCATAGTTTACACCCCTAGGAGCTAAAAATCGAAGGCTCCAGCCTCATATACTGTGTTCGCTAAGCTAATTCCGTGATTAACTAGACCAAGATCCATCGAAACTAGCTGGTATTTCTCCTATAGCAGTGTCAGAATTTTCCTCTCTACCTTTCTCAAGAACAATCCTTCTTGCTTCTTCTCTGTTACTCTCAAGCATTTTGCGTACAACATCCTCGCGCGCTTGAAACAACACATCCTTATGACTGTACCAAGTCAATTTAGACATTGTCAAGGGCATGTTGAGAACTTCCCAGAGTTTTGTAACGCCTTCCTTTCCCAGTCTCATTTCACAGGAAGCATACATTATCTGCCTGATAATATCCTTTTCGTGACTTGACCTCGGAACTCTATCGGCAACATTGTGAAATCCAGTGGCAAGAAATTCTTTCATAGCAAAGCTATCGAAATATGGTGTACAAGCTGCTACTCAGACCGAATCTGTCACTTTCATATGCATTCTCCACTAACCTAATAGAGGCTAAAGGAAATGAAAAAAATAATAAGCTTTATTTTTAAGCTTCATATAGCCTGAAAAAAGGAGTCACATTTTAGAAAACTGGCTCAAGAAGGCATGGATAAATGTTTAAATAATTTTACCTGAAGCACAATCTTGGCTGGCTGAGTGAACCCTCTCAACAAAACTCTGGAAGATTTTCCATGTGCACCAGCCGATACCCTTCGGCTTCCGGAATTTCCAAAGAAATACTCTCATCAGATCCACTTTCATCGTCATTTTCCTGTAATAGCTTTCTCGAAGAAACAGAGGCAAGTGGCTCAGGAATTTGCCCGCCCACTATATCATCCTCACCAACAAACGTCTCTTCGATGCATTTTCCGCGATCTTTCTGTGCTTTAGGGTACCGGCTTTTCTTACTACTACCGCTCTTCTTTGTAACTCGTTGTTTTACACCAGAGCTATTCCCTAAGGCATGATTCTTTGATGATAAACGAGCTGAAGCACTTTGACTGTGTTCAGAGAACAAAGGAACGATCGATAGAGCGTTTACTGAGGAACCTTGCCTTATAGAGTTAGTTTTAAAGGCAGGAATCGGATAGAGACCCCTGGAAGCGGGTCCGGAGAGCGCTGAATCGAGAAATCTCAAGGAAAGGGCTCGATTTTGAATTCTGTTTCCGTGGCAAACGATCAACATTG